AGAACAGTGCCTGGCACATAGATCTGAAAACCATTATTAATGTTGTTATTATCATGTCCTATCTATTTCTACCACTTCTCTTTCACCCCATTTCCAATTTATCTTTCACACACAAGCATAACTAGAAACAAAAGCAGATTTGCGGGCCAGTATTACTTGGTTGTCTCCTTAAACCACATTTTTGGCAAACTTTGAGCTTTTGGACAGGCAAAGTTATTTTTGGAGAAAGAACCCTACATAAGAAATGGCCCAAGTCCCAGATTGAAGGTGTCTACCTCAGAAGAGAGCATTCGTTTGAAAGCACTGGTTACTGATCATGTTATTTTATACATGAAATAGCTTTTAGACACATTGTGTTTAATTCCATGTTAAAGTTCCCGTGTTGTATTAAGTACCTTAGAAAAATTTGTAATCTATCTGTGAGATACAGGGAAAAGCATACTAAAATAGGAGTCGGGAATTAAGGGTTCTTTATGTCTTGGCTAGTTCAGAATGAATTCAAGCCTCATTAATGGATAAAATAGAGAGGCTGCACTTGATGAACATCTAAAAATTCAATGATGTTATTTTGAGATAGGAAAAAGACATTTAAAGGTAACACTCATGTCAAGAGGGGGAAAATGTGAACAAAATGAATATATTTGTGAATGGAGATGGGGCATGGGGGAGAAGGAGTCAGCAAGAGTAGATGAAGCAGTCCTGGCAGACTCCCTGGGTTTCTTTGCACTCGATCAGGCCTATGGGCCACATGCAGTCCAGGACAGCTAGTGATGTGGCACCACAAAATCTTTTCCTCTTTTTTCTTTTTTTTTTTTTTTGAGTTGGAGACTAACTCTGTCACCCAGGCTGGAGTGCAGTGGCATACTCACGGTCACTGCAGACTTGACATGCTGGGCTCAGGTGATCCTTCCGCCTCAGCCTTCCAAGTAGTTGAAAATACAGGCACGCACCACCATGCCCAGTTAATTTTTGATTTATTGTACAGATGAGTTGCCCCCAAGTTGCCCAGGCTGGTCTCGAACCCGCAGGCTCAGGCAATCCTCTCACCTCGGCCTCCCAAAGTTCTGGGATTACAGGCATGAGCCACCAAGCCCAGCCCCCACAAAATCTTTTAATGTCATGTGTTTTTTAACATTTGGTTTCTTCTTGACCACATGTGTAGTTCTATTTTTTGAAGTTTACAGTCACACCTTATTCGTAACATTGCTTTTTGGCAGTACATACATTTGTGAGCAGCTGTTTTCAATTATGAAGGGCAAAATTCAAACAAACATTTATGATGAGCACCTTAAGAACTCAAAAAGTGGGACCACTTCCATTGAACGAGACATTGATAGATTAGTTTTACAAAAACAATGTCAAATTACCTGCTAGTTTTATATTGTTCTCATTTTTCTAAACTTTATAATAAAAAATTTTTTAAAAGTCTTATTATGTATATACGCTAACTATATTATATAATTTATGTAAGACCCAAGACAATTCCTCTTTACTTGATGTGATATAGGGAAGCCAAAAGGTTGAACACTCCTGTTCTAGATCTTAAGAGCATAATGGATGTGAGTTTGTGGACAAAAACAGGAAGTTTGTTGACTTCCCCCCCTCCTCATTTCTCTGATATGAGAAAATGCATTTGGAAATAATCTCTGATTATAAAGGACATTTAAACCAGTAGTTTGTGCCTGGATTTTTAAAGAAGCAAATGGGCCTAGACTGAGGGGGTTGTGGAGAATAGGAATATGTCTCAAAGGCTACATACCAAACCAGAAACTGCAAGGAAGGGCAGTTAGACCAATTGACCAGACTGAACTAGAATATTCTGTCTTCAATAGAAATGATATAGGAGAGGTGGGATTTTGAAAATCTAGATTAAAACTTCTATAGGTTCTGGCCAGGCATGGTGGCCCATGCCTATAATCCTAGCAATTTGGGAGGCCGAGGTGAAGATTTCCAGAGCCCACAGGTTCAAGACCAGCTTGGGCAACTAGTGAAACATCGTCTCTACAATAAATCGAAAATTAGCTGGGCGTGGTAGCGCACACCTGTAGTTTTAGCTACTTGGAAGGCTGAGGTGGAAGGATCGAAGAAGCCCAGCAGGTCAATGCTGGGGTGGCCTTGAGCATGCTATTGCACTCCAGCCTGGGCAACAGTGTGAGACTCCAATTCAAAAAAATAAAATAAAACTTTCAGATTCTTAATTAAATTTGTATTTTGAAATGAAGTTGAGGCCAGGCTTGGTGGCTCAGCCTGTAATCCCAGCACTTTGGTAGGCCGAGGCAAGTGAATTGCCTTAGCCCATGGGTTCGAGACCCACCCGGGCAACTTGGCAAGACCTCCTCTCTACAATAAATAAAAAATTAGCCGGGCATGGTAGCTCATGCCTGTAGCTCCGGCTACTTGGAAGGCTGAGGTGGAAGGATTGCTGGAGCCCAACAGGTCGAGGCTGCAGTAGCCGTGAGCATGCCAATGCACTTCAGTCTGGGCAACAGAGTGAGACACCAACTCAAAAAAAAAAAGAAAGAAATGAAATTGAATATTGTAATTTTAGTTTGTGGGAATAAGAGATGCATATTTTATTCCTAAAGACACATACATTTGGAGTAAACTGAATTTGTAGTTCACTTGAGATACAGTTTTTTTGTTTTGTTTTTTAATTCTTAGGTGCCAGTTGGTTATTCGTGTTGCCCTAAAATTTTTTATTTGCATTGAAATGTTTGCTAAAATCTTATTTCATGTTGACTTTTAGATTTCATGTATTGTCTGATAACAAAACATTATATTATTTTAAAAATCAAGCCCTGTTGATATAAAATGGTTATTTATTGTTGCTGTAATGCTACCAATTGCACCAGGAAGCATGAATATTATAGAAGGTGGAGATTAAGTAGAAAATAGTTAATTGAATTATACTAACCAAGTCCTGGGTGTTTTTCTACATTTGCTGAGGGGTTGGAAGCTTACTGAGGTTCACTCAGGCAAACCAAAAATTAATCAAAACAAATCCAAGCACCAAAGAGTGAAAAGATGGAAAAGGGAACACTTTCTGATTGTTAACACTGCTTTACTTATCACAGAGGACTGAGTATATGTTAGGCAATTATATACTTGAATTTCTTAGAAAATCAGTGTTTTGCAGATAGAAGCATGCAACTTGTTACTGAAATAACAATTAACAAAAGTGATAACTACAACCAATCAAAGTATCATCCTAATAGTGGATATCACAGTTTAACCAATACATAACAAAAAATGTCAAAGAAGGAAATAAATTTCAGATCATACTAAGAAACAAAACCTAGCTGGGCTCAGAGGTTCAGCCTGTAATCCCAGCACTTTGGGAGGCCAAGGCGAGTGGATTGCCTGAGCCCACGGGTTCGAGACCAGTCCGGGCTACGTGGTGAGACCTCATGTCTACAATAAATAAATTTTTAAAAATTAGCAGGGTGCAGTAGCGTGCGCCTGTAGTTCCAGCTGCTTGGAAGACTGAGGTGGAAGGATCACCTGAGCCCAGATGCTGGGTTGGCCATGAGTGTGCCAGTGCACTCCAGCCTGCGACAGAGTGAGACTCCAACTCAAAGAAAAAAAGGAGAAAAAAAAGAAACAAAACCTAATAAAAGGCAATGTCCAACTTTACAAGATCACAAATTTAAGCTAAATGTTCAAAGGCATAATTAAGTAGCTTTTGAAACTGCATTTCAGAGAACTTTTGTAATATATTTTAATATACACTTGCTACTTTGTTGTTTCCTCTATGACCATTTCTCTGCTTTAGGGCAAAGTCTAATCTTTTATCTATGCGTTAATAAATTCAGAGTTATCCAGTTAGAATGATTTGTTCAATAATAAATGCTTATCTAAATGTTGGACCTTTTCTTATGAAGGTGAAACAATGATGTCTGATGTCACTGGAGTATTTTAACTGTGTAATGAATGAAATGTTGAGATCACCAAACATGGTAACAATGACAATTAATGAAGTTTAGGAAGTAATAAATTTAACAGTTAAATAATTAAAATACATTCTGTATTTAGAACTTCCATGATTTTCTCATGGAGGCTTCTGCTTTTATTTCTGTGCTGCTCCTCAGAATAGATTTCTTGCTCATATTCAGAGAAACTTCTTTTTCTAAATGCTTTTTAATAAAGAAAACATAACGTGGTGGTATAATAGTAAGAAATTATGGCTAACTGATGGATGAGATTAATATAGGGAAGAAATATAAATAGAAGCATAATAGTCATGGGTGTGTGAGACATGATTATCCACATGAGCTATTATGCAGCAGTATCATTTTGGGCAGAGGTTCACGTGATCTCCCTTGAGGAGTGAGTTTATTGTTTCAGTCGTTGGTTACTGAAAGCTTGCCCGCTCTGCTCCTTGTCTTACTGAGAGCACGCTGACCTGACTGATTACTTCATATCAAGCCTTCATTCTTGGAATGTTCTGTATCATAATCGTGTTTGTAGTCCCAACAGCACAGTGCAGCACAACTTTATTTCCTTGTGTATGGTTTTGTTGGGGCAAAAGACAGGATTGTTATTTCAAGGACAGCATGTTTGCTGAGTTAGGTGGTGACGACTTCCACCAAGATGCTATCACCTCCAAACAAGGACATGTTTATTCCAACATCAGAGCTGCCCATGATGAACTGAGTCTAAAGATAGCTTTCACTGATGAACGTCTATAACCTTTGGACTTTTTCACATCATACTGTCTAAAAGCTCTAACAACTGTAGCTCTTAACATTAGGAGGTTACGGGTTCCAATTAACAGTCTTCTGTCACTAGTACCTTTAAAAGCCTATCATTCTGATGCCTTTGTTTTCCTTTCTGTGACTTCTGCTAAAGAGAGAGAAAAAATAGAAAATGATCTAACTCACAAACACTTGTTGTTTATAAGGACATGATCATATATAACAGTTCATTCTCATGAAGTCAAAAAGTAAGGATTTTTGCACCTGCCCCTGGTAAGTCTGTTATTTGTGACTTTGTGTTTCTAGATGACTAAGAATGGCACAGTGGAATCTGAAGAAGCCAGCACTCTTACAGTGGATGACATTTCTGATGATGACATTGACTTAGACAACACAGAGGTAGATGAATACTTCTTCCTACAACCCTTGCCAACAAAAAAACGAAGAGCCCTGCTGCGTGCTTCTGGAGTGAAAAAGATTGATGTGGAAGAAAAGCATGAGCTGCGAGCCATTCGCCTCTCACGAGAGGACTGTGGCTGTGACTGCCGAGTGTTCTGTGATCCAGACACGTGTACCTGCAGCCTGGCAGGCATTAAATGCCAGGTAAGGTCTTGTATTTAAGGGCATCCATAGACAAGACATTATCCATCGCCCCTTAAAGAGGCAGTCATGTTAGCTATAATGAAGTTTCCTACGTCTAGAAGAAAACTTTGTGGCAAGGCAAGACGTGTAATTCAGGAAGAGAGAAAAACTAATTTAAGGACATTCATGAGAATGCATAAAAAGCTTATACATTTAAGATATAATGTGAAAAGCAATCAAGCTATAGCTGTGTTAATTAAAATTATTTCCTCTTGGATTCATTTATTATACTGGTTTATTTTGAATTTTTACAAATATTTAGGGAGATCGTAACATGACATGAGACAGTCTCTCAAATTTAAAAAAATGGTACATTATGAGAAGAGGTAGATAAGTTTGCTTGTTTAAAATTGGGCATGTAAGCTGGGATGCAGCAAAAAGAAAAGGAGTTGGGGGAAAGGACAGAAGCATTGAAAAAATGAGAGCAAAATTAAAGAAATGGAGAGAAGGAAAAAGGAATGGAGGTAATGGAAAAAGAAGTCCAGAGAGGACTGGAAGGGGGTCAATGAACTAAAAATACACCCATAGCCATAATACATTTTTCTTTTAAATTCAAGCTCAGAAACGAATTAGCTCTTATGTTTTCAGCCTTTGCTTCCCCTTTTCATTTCTGTTTGCAATTTGATTGTCGTTTGCTCTGGCATAAGTGGATCACTTAATTCAAAAGAGTTGCTGAAAGGTATTGGATTTTTATTTGGTTTGTAATAATTCTATGGTGCTAATCTGTGTTCTTCCTTCCAAGGTGGATCGTATGTCTTTCCCGTGTGGCTGCACTAAAGAAGGATGTAGTAACACAGCAGGTAGAATTGAATTTAATCCTATCCGTGTTCGGACTCATTTTTTGCACACAATAATGAAACTTGAACTGGAGAAAAACCGAGAGCAGCAAATCCCCACACTGAACGGCTGCCACGGTGAGATAAGTGCTCATAGTAGTTCCATGGGCCCTGTCGCTCACTCCGTAGAATATTCTATCGCAGACAATTTTGAGATTGAAACCGAACCTCAGGCTGCAGTGCTGCACCTGCAGTCTGCTGAGGAATTAGATTGCCAAGGAGAGGAGGAGGAAGAAGAGGAGGATGGGAGCAGCTTTTGCAGCGGAGTCACTGATTCTAGCACCCAAAGCTTGGCACCGAGTGAGTCAGACGAAGAGGAGGAGGAGGAAGAGGAGGAGGAGGAAGAAGATGACGATGACGACAAAGGAGACAGCTTCGTGGAAGGTCTGGGCACCCATGCCGAAGTTGTCCCACTTCCTTCCGTCCTTTGTTATTCTGATGGCACTGCTGTTCACGAAAGCCACACAAAGAATGCGTCTTTTTATGCCAACTCTTCAACTCTGTATTACCAAATAGATAGCCACATTCCAGGAACCCCTAGCCAGATCTCTGAGAACTATTCTGAAAGAGATACTGTCAAAAACGGTACCCTTTCGCTGGTGCCTTACACCATGACCCCGGAGCAATTTGTCGACTATGCCCGACAAGCAGAAGAGGCCTACGGTGCCTCCCATCATTACCCACCTGCCAACCCCTCTGTAATCGTTTGCTGCTCCTCTTCCGAAAATGATAGCGGTGTGCCCTGCAATAGCTTATATCCGGAACACAGGTCCACTCATCCCCAAGTGGAATTTCACTCATACTTGAAAGGCCCCTCCCAGGAAGGGTTTGTCTCTACATTGAATGGTGACAGTCACATTTCAGAGCATCCTGCTGAAAATTCTTTGAGCCTTGCAGAAAAGAGCAGATTGCACGAAGAGTGCATCAAATCACCCGTGGTTGAAACAGTCCCTGTTTAGTAGCTTAAATTATTCTAGAACCAACTCTTCTCCTATGTAAGGCGCTGTATTTAATTGAATTTCCTGGGCTCATCGTTGTTTAAACTGAAGACCAAGAAAACTTGGACTGTTGTTACTCTTCCAGACTGTATTTTGTTTTTTCCTTTCTAGCCACATGACTGCGGCATTGCACAAATACAGTCTCTATAGGGATTTTAAAAGATTTCAGACTGTTTTGATAGAAAATGCTCAGTTTTAAAAATGCATATCTCACAGTTGCCTACCTGTCAAACTGTGTGAAACCTGCCAAACTGTGTAGATCAGAGCTCCAAGTTTTGGATTATCGGGCCTGTGCAAGATTGTTAACTAAGACTGGGAAATAAGCAGATTTAGAGTCCTAATTTTCAATATATCTGAAGATGATGGTGACTTTTTAATGTAAAAGTAATTATTGTAAGAAAAAGATTTAATTGTTCCATGTGTACTTTATTTATGGTAGTTTAGAAGTCATGTTTTGATGCAAAAGAACAGCAGCATGTTCATTCAAGCCGTAGCTGCATAGCTAGTTCCACAGAGCATGCCCACATGGATTGCACCTGGAATCCATTCACATTTTTATGATCATGACTGATCCAATTTGCAAATACTTTCTTAAAGGTGAAATAGGCCTATTTTTGCTATTCTGGACAAACAAATGAGTCTATATGTGCAGGTCCTTACACAATTTTCTCTAAAGTTCAGAGTCAGGACAATCCTCTAGGGAGGGCCTAGTTCACTGCCCTCCCTCAGTAGACTCCAGAAATGGAGGTGGAAGGAATTGCCTTTCTTTTTTTAGACAGCATCATCTTGGTTCTTAGTTTGGACAGCACCTTTAAACTCTACCCCCTACATCAAAATGCACTTTAGTGCCCCTTCACGGTACCTCGTGTGGGGTGGGGAGTGAGAACTCTTTGAGATGAAAAGTTTTAAAAATTGAGAAAAAGATCTTTAACTATTATAAGGTTCATATAATTAATATAGAGGAATCATCCAATGATACTCATGAAGGAAAAGTCACCTATTTTCCTTCACCACTCTAAGGACCTAACTCAGTAAGGCAGAGGAGGCTGAGGACACACGGAAGAGACACAGCCTCCGCAACCAGCCTTTTCTACAGCGTGATCAATCCATCTCTACAAAATAAGAGTAAAGTGAGATTTCCACTTAGTGACTAGCTGATTGAAGGGAGGGCCTCTACCCAATTACTCAACTAGGCCTTACTTTTCTGAAGCATTTTGATTTGTCTTGCCTGGGACAGCTAGCAGAACAGCCCAGAAGGCAGTGCATACTTTCTAATTACCTCACGTTCTCTTATTAAAGGGGACAGATAGAAATAAAACATGCACTCCCCACCTTTAGATTACCTGCACTTGGTTCGTCGGAGGACTTCTAGGATTCTGTTTTCCTGTAAATTAATTTAGGTAACTAAATAGTGTATTCTGCCTTTTGTTTTTCAATGCAGTATGACTGTGCTAAATCTGTTTCACATTTTCGACTTTCTATTATTCTGTCATTTCACATGATTTATAACTGTTTGAAATATGAACATGCCTTGCTATTTGGTGACTGCATCGCTACTTAATTTTTATGTCTTTTAGACTAGGGTATTTAGAATTATGGATATAAATGTATTATAGATCTCAATTTCTTAAAAATATACTACTTTATTTAATTGAACTTAAAAATGCTTGATCTAGAGAAAGTCCTCCAATGGAAAAGATTCTACTAAAACTTGATTTGGGGAAAACATGTTTACTTGGCAGCTCTTCCACTGTGCAATTGGCTCCTACTCCTCCCCTTTCCTCCAAAATTTGGGCCAAATTTATAACCATCAATATGAACATTAAAAGAGCCTTGGGCTTGTCTATGTGGGTAGTAGTCATGAGGGCAGGGCTGCTCCTTTTGAACGATTAGCCTTTTGGGCTAATCAGATTGGGCCTTTGCTCAAATCTTAATAAGTATATCCCATGTTATCTGCAAAGTTAGTTTTTAGTGCTTAATTTTTACACTTTTCCCCTTCCTGACACAATCGAAAGAGCACGGTCTCCCCCCCAAAACGACAAGAGGCTATTGTTTCTTCACTCAAGCGCACGAAAGAACCGTGTGTACTATATGTGCTAGATCATTACAAGCTCTTGAAGGATCTGTCTATGAAGCACTCTGAGTTTATTCTTGGAACATGGAGAGTGGGAGACTGAGGAAGCCCCTGCTCTGGCTGGAGCAAAGATGAAGGGTAGAATGACAGGTTGACAGTTCAGTTTCTGAAAAGAGAGCTATTTTAATTTTAGTTCAGGTTTATTTTATTTGTTTTAGATCAAACAAGAAGGTTTGACACTTAACTTTTTCATATTTGGCTGGGTATTTGTTTTATACCTTTGTTTTCAAAAGGATGCTTTAAAACACAGAGCTTTTTTCCTCCCTCTTTCTGTTCAGTTGGTATAGAAAGTCATTGCCCTGCTAAGAAGAATACACCATCCAACCATGACAACTTCCATTCCAAATGTTCACATACCTTACTAATCCCGAAACATTTCCCACATACTACATACACAGGCTACCTATTAAAATACTTCCATGTACCTAACACACACATATATGCACATACAAAATATATGCATACCACACACTAGAGAATGACAGATTTTAGGCAATGGTCAGTAATAAGTACTGGGTTTTTTCCACCCCAGAATCTAGAAGGGTCTTATGATCTAAGAAATGTGGTTTAGGAAAGAGGGCAATTTGTAAAGCTATACTTTGAAAATATCAGGTTGAAGTTGCAAATAATACTAATGATGGGATCATTTCATTGTTACTTCCATTCCCAGAAAAGCTGAGAGGGCATACTGTTCCATCTGACTTTCTTTTTCTATTAATAGCCCTTCTATTCAACAAAACTGTCCACATGCCAGAAAAGTGCTACAGTCATTCTAAGCTTTTTTTTTTTTTTCAAAAAAAGGGGATCAAGCTAGATGCAGCCAGTCGGGACACTTAAGATCTTTATACCAGGACACAAAAATCTGACGTGCAGCTGTTATATTGCCCCCATAGTATATGTAACCAAATTGTAGTGTTTTTGACACACAGCTTTATAGTCATTCACTATCAATTGCGAAGCTTCATGTGCCAGTCCTCATTGTTTTAGTACCAGCCCTCTACCTTTAAATGGGGCTTAATTCCCAGTTATAATCCTGGCCAAAATGATTTGCAAGTCAAGTAGTAAGAGCAGCTTGCATCTCCTTTGTCATTTCTGATTTCCTTCAGGAGAAAGAAGTCAATGAAAGAAATTTACTTAAGTTTGCCCCCCTTATCTCTCGATTATCAATTATTAAGACATAGGTAAAATCTATTTGTCTCATGTTTTTTGGTTGATTGAAAATACAGTTAATTTCTGAAGACCAGTTTTTTCTTTGTGATGAAACCATTTTTCCTAGTGTGCCAACCGCATAAAAAAAATGTGAGACCAAAGTTTCTTAGAGTGATTAACATCTTTGCAATTATTATGGCCCAGCAATGTTCACCCACCAATCACCCACAAAAAAAAAAAAAAAAAATGCCATGGGTTGCATAAAGACTAGTCACAAATTAATCAAAAAGCAAAGAAGTTTTGTTAAGTGATTATGTTCTTTAAATTTTTACATTCTAGCAGATGGCTTCTAAGCAAAATTCTGGTTTTGTTAACTATTAAACAAGAAAATATATTATGATTTATTTTCTATAAATCAGTATGTCACTGTTTCCGTGATTTAAATTTTTGATATTATACAAGTTTATAATACCTTTTTCTTGGTCTTCAGAATTTGTTAAGTATCAATTCTTTCTTTCAACAAATATGCATTTAACATTTGCTATGTTAGACTACTGTCCTGGGTAGTAAAAAGAGGAGAAATACAACAAATTCTAAGGGATGATGTTAATGAAAGGGAGCATGAAATAATCAAACCTATTCAAGTCCTCTTAGTGAGTGATTTTATAAAGTTATAGTAGAAAAACTGACATCAATTTTTGAATAATTATGTGCAAACTGTAACTAAAAGGATGCTTCTGTTCTTTAGTTAATAGAACTCACCAGATCCTCCTCTGTCCCTCTCTCTACATCTGAAATTTTTGAATTAAATCTGGACTCAGCTAGGACTGAATCAAATAAAAAAGAAATTAGAAGTGAAGCTAAATTTATACCAGTAAACTCCTACCAGTTTCAAAGCAGGTTTGACTCATGCATAACCCAGGAAACATTTACAGCAACATTGTAGAACACAATCACTCATACTTCTATTTATGTACAGCCTATCAAAATAGCAAAACCCTGTTCCAAGGTCCAAAGACATCACCTTGCAGCAGGTGGAAAACAGAGAGGTCATCAGAGCCCCTTACTTTTAGCTGGAGTTACAGGCCATCAAATTAGCAGGTGGAAAATTGATATCCTCAGAAGCCAGCAGGAGACTGCCTTTTTGAGAGGTGCCATAAAGCCTTCTGTTTTTCCAAATATGACTTAATGTTTCTCTTTAAAATGGCATGTGCTCACTATTCTCTTTAAGATAGTTTACAGTGTCATTGAATTCAGTGAATTAAATACCAAGCTTAAACAGGAAGCACCTTTGTGCTTTCAAAGGTAGGACTTGACTGTAATTTGAAATTGAAACTATGTGGTGTATCCTTATCATAACTAACACCACAAGTTTAAAGTCTTGATCACTCTTAGTTCTAATACAAATTGAAACTTGTGATTCATTACTTTTTCTGAGATCTGCCAATTTGTTCTGGTGAAACATAATTGCCCAAGTCAAAATGCCACAGTTTTGCACAAATAGATCAGCTCATCTGGTATTTTCTGCAGCATTAAAGAGTTTAATTGACTGAATATCGGCAATTTGAAAACTCACAAGAAGTATAGAAGTATCAGGGTGGAAGTGAGGGTGGCATATAAGCTTAATAAATGGTAATATCTTCTAGGAATTAGAAAAAGTTTCAGCAGAGTTGAGTGAGGCATTACTACACTGCAAAGACTAGAATCACAAACAGCAGCCCCAAACCTAGAAGGTGCAGTTACGATGTGGACATCCTCACAACTCAGTTATTGCTCATATCTGCTGACCAAGATCCATGTCAATAACATTTTTACTACCTATTAGTCACCTGATGCTTTAGAAAATAAAAATACAGACCTACAGCATTCTAAATAAATGATTTTTAATGAAATATAAATACATCTTATATTACAAGGACTAATGAATTTTTAAATATTTACCTATCAAATCTATATATATAAAGTGACTTTAAAAGCCACTTCTAAGTTTTACTTTAAAAGTCACTTCTCATGGGTTTTCAAGCTAGACCATGAGATCCCACCTTCTTAACTAATGCAGATTTTTTTTCTTCTTTATCAGAAATTCACACTCAAAAGCTTGATATGGCCTGGGTTTTGCTTCGTGATCAGTTCAGGGGTTAGTCTAACATGCCATCTGGGATGCCCTGGGGTTTTTTTGAGAGCAATAAGTCAGGTGGAATGATAGAAAGCAGGAGAGTATATGTGACTAGACTTAAAGGCTAACCCAATCTGTCTTTTCCGTTCTTTTTTATATGAAAAAATTTAAATATCTTATTAACATCTAGCCCAGAATTTTAGTAAATACAGCCACTTATTGCATCCCTGGAAAATGAAATCATCTCAAAGAATTGAGTCATGTTGGTGACTACTTTCTTTTACTTATGTTGAATACATCACCCAATGTACAGGGTAATTGCTTTTTTATTTGATCCTTTACACACTTGCCTATTCAAGAAAACTCAACTCCACTGTGTCCTCTCATTTTATGTCTCACAAACGTTTCCAGCAGGACTAATGCTCAAAGGAATATGATAGAATTTATTTTGGACAATATTAAACATTCTAATGGTGTAATTCCTCTCTTTGCATTACTCAATTCCATGGTGATAGTCAAATTAGCTCAATAACTCCTTTTAGTGAAATGTGTGAGGCTATTTAAATATTTTTAAGATAATGTATATTGATTGGAAAAAGTTAGGAAGAGACAGATTTATTGTGAAATTAGCCTTGCCTTTGTCTAAGTTAAGTTGTGTGACCTGATTGAATGGATTTAGTTGTCATTTTGGAACAGCTACTTTATTGGGCATCCCTTGTTTCTCTTTTAGTTTTCTCTCAGTATTTTTATCTGTCTTGGGATTATCTTTAATGTAGTTACCTATTAATGAGTATTTGGAAGAGAATTGACTTAGAAAATGTCTCTTTAAAAATTATTTAGGTAAAATTATTTAGCTACTATCACCAGAGATCTTCATCAAGTCCTACTGCCACACTAGGTAAGGCTACCACCACACCCCGCCCCAGTCATGGGCATGGCCTCCTAACAATGATTTTGCTGTTGTCTCTACACAGGAAACTCATGAGAAAGAAGCTTGAAATTCTAATTTTGTAGCACATCTTATCTAATTTTGCTTTGCTTCACCTTTTCATATTGGCCATCAAGCTTTTTTCCTTAACTATTAAGAAAATCACACGTCTCTAAAACAAATGTAAAGACTGGTATACATTTTGCAACTTTATTTAAATATAAAAGATAAGGAAAGAATAAAATTTAAATCTGACTTCTCTTACAGAGGGAAAAACCTAAATATCTAAACCTGGGAAATTGTCGCCTTGGCTTTTTAAAAAATTCATTTACGATCCTTGAGTGATTTAATGGAACCCAAATGATATCTGAGCATGATAGATTTTTAAGATCTAAGAGTTGGCAAAGTCATTTTGTTTGTACCACAGTCAAAGAGAGCCCACTGTCACAGGTTACCATCTGAACCCTGATTCATTTGGCACTAATCATGCCGAATGGGAATCTCAGAATAGTTTAATCTTTTCAAAAAAACTCACAATGGCAACTGTGTGTGAATATAATAGAAAATTTGAGACTCTTCTGTATTCTTCCAACATTATCATCCTGAGACTAGGAGAGATCTCCAAAGGTCATGCGACTCATCCATCTACCTCCAGGGAGGACTGTCACTCAGGCATGCCCAACAGGGTAGATAGCCATCTATGCTTGACATCTCTATGGAAGGTGGTTTCCTTGACAACACAATTCATCTCTCTTAGGTTTTCTCACAATAAGAAAATATCTTGGCCAGTCTTTGTGGGCTAGGCACCTGGCAACAGTTGTGGTGATTTGGGCCATTGTACTAGGGGACTCAAGGAAAGTTGGGTTTACCCTACATTTGAAGATTATTTCATTAGTATATAATGATTCTACAAGTTTACTAAGAAATTGGATTTTTTTAAAGAAAGATGTAGATACAGTGACAATGCTCAGTAACATGACCAGCTTTTGACAAATGTGGTTGTAGTTGGTTTTTATTTTTGTTATAGTTTGTTTTGTCATGCTGTTATATCAGAAGGGGTAATATCAGAAAAGAAAATGACAGTTTCATATCCCCAGGGACAAACATCAGAACTAGGATCAAGTGACTTGACTTTTAAACTGTTCAATTTTCTGAGAAGTTACAATTGCAAAATATAAGCATTTTCTACTTTCTTGCTTCTGAGTAACTACTTGCTTTAGCCTAAAATGACGAATAAGAATCCAAAGTTTCTCCACTCCTTCTGGGGAAGATATGACTAGTTGTGAAGAATCTGATGGAATAACATGACTCCAGAGATTTACACAGCCACCATTTGATCCCAGCCTTTGTCTTGTATTATTTAAACAGTGGCTGCTTGCTTTCTCAGGGATCAGGAAAATGTTTTAAAAATGTGTCATCTTGACAAGGCCTGAAAAAGAAGGGAGGAATCCTAGAGAATGGTGATTTTTTTTTCTGATTACATCACTTGACTCAAGCACTCCCTGCAGCTTTCAGGGCCTTTTCTGTTTGCTCAGAGTTGATTCCAACTCAGAATCAGAACTAACCGGAAGATGAGGAGCACCCTCAAAATCAATGTTTCCTTTCTTCATGGGATTTTATTCAATCTAGGTATAGCTGCTTATCTCCCCAACTCGGATGCTCTTGTGAAATGACAGCCACATTGGTGTGGTTGCTCCCCACAAGTAACACTCTGGGGAAATGTCCCTTTTTGTTAAAAAACAAAAAACTAGAGAATGTTTATGTAAAGAACATGGAATAAAATTTGGCCCATGTTTTAATTGACTTTAGGCACCTCTATGGAAATAAGTCTGAGGCGTAGTTTGTGAAACATGTTTCAAAAGTGTTTGATGTATAATAAATGCTAGACATTTACAGTTCAGAAATAGTAAAAAAAAAAAAAATCTTAACCTGTAGAATACAACTCTGTTCCTAAGAACCTCAGCCTTTATTGTGTCTTAGTAAAGTTGATCTGCTTTCTTTTTTGTTTATTGCATTTCTGGTGTAATAGCCTCTTAAGATAGAACTATTAATACATATGTACTGGTTAATGCCTGTTAATGCAGAAAATGGCACTTTGTTATTTCAGTGTGTTTCCCTCAATGTCACAGGGTATATCAATTTGATAGAAAGATCATTTGATATTTGTCAAAAATACATTTTCCCCCATTTAAAGCATATGTATCATTAGTTATATAGACAA